TGTTTCTTCTGTTTTGAGTCCTGAATTTCTTGTCTGTTTTGTTAGCAATATATTTCATAAGAAGGTTTGGGACTGCTGAAGTATTTTATCTGGTAATAAGGTTTCTTTGTCTTATTTTTACGATGGCCTCTTGGATGCCCCCACGAAGCTGTTCTTCCATTGTGGCACTGTTTGGGACCTTAGTCAGACAAGAGGTGGACCTGGCAACCTTTCCACTTGGTTAGAAATCTATAGTCTTACCTCATAGACAAGGTGATAGTCACAGAGTCAAGCTGCCATCAGAGTTTGTCAGAAGTTGATTTCTGACAAAGCGTGTGAGCATTCAGGATAATCAACCAAAGCCAGCTTGCTCACCTCTGCAAAAGTATTAAAAATGTAGAGCTGAAAGGATACAACTAACTCTGCGTCCTTGAGCTGATGTTCAGTGATGGTCATGGCAAAGAATTCATGTGCTGAATAGCATCTTTTAGAAAAGTAAGCATCTTATTTCTTCTTTCATGCCATCCAGGACCTTATGACTAAAAGACCTTACAAGCAGCTGACATAAACCAGGCATGATGCTGTATTTGATGAGGGTTAACTTGGTTTTTGTTTTCTGGGCTTTTTAAAATTCTCTTCAGCTAGGGACAAATGCACATAAGATGGATAAGGAGAAATCTCTCCTGTACAAAAGCTGTGATCTCTCCTCTTTAGCAATCACATATGGCACTGACATGTTGCTGGCCTTCAGGAGCCTTCAAGTGTCCAGTCTGAAGTTGCAGACTTGTGGCACAGTAAAACGTGATAAATGAATGTTTGTAAGAGTACCTTGGAACAAGTGGGAATTTTATCTAGCCTTGCTCCCAAAACCAAATACAATGAAGAACACAATTTCTAGTGGAAAGGCTCAAGTGTTACTAAGCCCAGTGCAGGTACACGCCTATTCACTTCCTCTCCCTATTTGAAAAGGTGGCAATGCTTTTTTAGATCTGTTTCTGTAGGTTGGGTTTACTTGCCTAAAATCCAAATCTCATTAAAATCTCACATAAAATCAAACCTCCAGCCTCTCCCATGGGCTTCCAAAATGAAGTTCAAACTGTCCCAAGGCAACTTGCACAACTGCTGATACGAATGCTTTTATACAATGCCAACCTTGAGACCCAATGCAGTTGTGCCTGCTCGTTTTATATGAGGGATTTGGAGGTTTTCTAATGTTTCATCTTTTTGAAGTTGAAAGTTAAACACCTTAAACATTCAAGTTGATTTGTATGTGAGGTAGACTTTTGTAAGCCATTCACGTGTGACTCCTGGCTCTGTAATCCAGAGGTAAAAGAGCAAACGTTAAAGTGAGGCGGCAGCACAGATCTTATTGGGTGATGGTGAGAACAGTTGGTACGAACATAAAAAACAGCCCGGTCTTGTTCACCAAGAAATGAAACTTGGGGTTCCCACAGACCTCCTCCCTGCTGGGGATCCCTCAAATGAAGTCACCGGTGATGCAAGAGCTCTTCCCTGTCCCAGCTTTGCTGCATCCCCACCGACCTGCCTGTGGCAGAAGTGACTTATCCAGCCCCTTTATCCTTGAGAAGGCCATAGTATGTGCAAAAGAGCTCCTAAAAAGTCTGGACCAGTGGTTCCTGGTGCTATGTAGGATTGGTGGTAGCTACTCTCTTAGGCAGTAAAACAGGACTCATAGGTCTGCCCTAAGGGCTGAGCTGGTGTCTCCAAACACCTGAATAAAATCTGTGTGTTGGGCTGCTGCTTTGCACAGAAGAATGACATCGTGTAGATAAAAAGGCTTCTGTTGTCCATGGTTGATCGGTCACAAACAGGGGCCAGAAGCAGCTGTGCAAAAATGGCTTTCAAAGCACGTTGATGTGAGGACCATAAATTGCACGAATAAAAATGCACTTTCCCAGAGCCAAAGTCATAACTTCCTATCACTTCCCAGAACAAATACTGTCTGCTATATTTATTAGGTGGGACTGTGTATAGGCAGTTGCTCTAAGTGTGTTTATTTTGAAGCCATCAGTTGTTCAGTAATCTCAGGCACCTCTGGGAGATTTAACTCAGATAGAGGTTTAGGCTGGAGGTCATGGGGTCACTGATATTAAGATAGAGAGAAGGAAAGGAAACAGCATTGTTTTTGTGGCATTATCTGAACAGTAAGGAAAAATAAATTCAGGTTTTAAGATGGCTTTAACCTGACTCTGAAGGAAATGGTCTACAAATCCAGCCAACGAGCAGGCAACTGTGACAAGACCCCACTTCTCTTTAAGTTTGTTTTGAGCCACCCAGCCAAAAACCCTGGTGGTTATGACTTGGTTAAGCAAGACTTCTCTAGAAATCTGTTTCAGTGGTTACAGTTTTCCTTTAGTGTATTCAAGTGTCTGAGTTTCTAATTTTAACTTCCCTCCTAAAATAAAATCTCTTGAGTTGCCTTTCGGGCAGTAGTTTGAACTCAGCGATGAGCTCCCCTGCAGTGGTAGGAGCGTGTTGGAGTTGAGCTGGTGCCCAGCATCATGTCCAGGTCCCAAAGCTGCTCAGAATCAGAGGGCAGGGACATGAGTACCCTGACAGTAATGAAATCTGGGGTCTGGTGCATGGGGATCTATCTGCTGTTATGAACTCCAAATAACTCTTTCTCTCTCACGTGGAGTCTTTGGTGTCTTGGAAGAAATGAACTGATACTGTGGGCTTTTCTGCAGCCCGGCACTTAGTTTCAAGGAACACACATGCAATTTTCTTTAAGACCTCTAACCCTCTGCAAATGTGACTAAAATCAGCTAATAGGTTCCAAATTTATTAGGAGGAGACAGACAGACAGAGGGACCCAGAGCATTAATGCACAGGACTGGTTTCCCCAGGAAGCCAGAGTAACAAAAACACACAAACAAAAAAAAATACCCAAAACCAAACCAAACCAAACCAACCAAACAAACAAAAAAAAACCCAAAAATGGCATTGGGAGTAAAGTAAGGATTTGTTTATCGCCTTCTTAATATTTTACCATAAAATACACTGTCTTATCCTCAGGGTTTGTTGATGGTTTGTATATGTGTGTGCCTGTGTGTATACATATTTTTGTATAGAAAAATCCAGCAACATCCATTGTTTAAAAAATCAAAAATGAGAAGGATTTTACTAAAAGCATTTTGGGAAAACCTCTGCTCTCGGTTTTCCTGTCAACGTTTTTCTAAGCTTTTATTTTTATTAGCCAAAATGTTTAGAATCCCCAGGAAATCCTGGGATGAACCATTTCCTCTTCAAGCTGTAGCCCTTAGGGGAAAAAGAAAAAGCTCAGATCCTTTCAAAGGTTAGAAATTTTTCAAACTGTATTTTTTGCAGACTTTTTTAATTAGAGAAAAACTAAGTTAGGAAGGTGCTTAACTTCAGGCTGTGGTCCTAGGGAAGATTGATCTCTTTGTAGAAAAGCCTGAAGAGACCCTTAGATCTGGGCAAGGAAATCTTTTAGGCTTGGATCTTAATGGGGAACCGATTGCTGAACTGAGGTATAACAGGTTCAGTTGAAGACCATCTTTGTATTTTTAAAAGTAAATTAAAAAATAACATTTGCTTTTCCTCAGCCAATTTGTGTATGTTAGTTAGCATGTAACAGCTTTGTAGTAAGAGGCTTTTAATGCCCTGGAGATACTACTACTACTACTTTTTCAAAAAAAAAAAAAAAAATTCAGATCGTATTTGTTATATACCTGAGGTTTTGCAGGAGTAAATCCAATTGACTGTTTCCTTTCCTTCAGATAAACTTCAATGGGAATCATAATTTTAAACTAACAAGAACTTCCATCCTGCAAATATGCCTCTATGTTGTTAATTTTAAACTTCTCTGGGGTTCGCTCCTTAAAGTGAGTTCAGTTGCTTAAAGTTAAGAAGGTAAGTAAGAATATGTGTCACAGGCTGCAGCCTAGCTGGGCCAGCTGGAGCTCAGCATGGGTTACTTTACCCAGATTTTGAGATGATGGTTATTCTTTGGGATGGATAGGACACTACTGTTATAAATGAGAGAAGCTGAAAATGTAGTGAAATGTGAGGCTGAGGGTTGCAGGAGTCTTTTCGTGAAAAATGACATAGCAATACAATTTTTCAGAACTCTGAATTTGCAGCCACTGCATATCACTTTATTTTAGGAAAAGTGCGTTTGCTTATTTGTGTAATTTGTGACAAACTCTCTTAACTGCTGTTCTGATTTATTCATCTACTTTTTATCAAGTTTCTGTGGAAGGTTCTTGGAAAGCTGAACATGAAAAGCTCAGACTTGATTCTGTGACTGGTATAAATTACCTCTACAGTCTATCATAAATATAAAAAGTTTTGTGGTCATTAATGTGAAATTTAGTAGCCTTTTTGGTAATGCAAGGGGAAAAATACCATCTTTAAGGACATTTGTTTTTTTTGGATACCTAAATTTACATAATAAAGAGTTCTGCTTTTTTCAGGTTTGGGATGGCGACATATGACTAGTCTGCTGGGACGATGTTACAATTCAGTGTCTCTGTTCACTTTGCAAAAGGGTGGGTGAAGGGGGAAAGACTAAAGGAGGGAGACTAATAATGAATTTCCAAAAGTTTCTGCTACTAGAAGCATACAGAAAGTCCCAATACAACAACTGTGACTTCAGAAGTTCAGAAGATTTTGATTTTAATCTAAAACCTTCCAACTGAGTTTGGGTTTTGGATTTAAGCTAGTGAACAGGAAACAGTCAGAGGCAATAGGAGTTTCCTAATTTAGAGTTTTTTCCCTTCCAATGTCTCTCATTAGAGAGTGGTCAGCACAGGTAGCCTAAAAGTTCTCAGACCGTGACCTCTGAGCAATATACATGTGTTGTGAAACTATGCAGAATATCAAGGGTTTTATAATAAGGTCTTCTGCGAGTAGGAGACCTTGCATCTGAGTCCCCTTCCAGTTCGGAATGCCTAAAGACCAGCCCTTGTTACTGGCCGGAATAGAATGGGTCAATAGACTTCAGGTGCAGGAGAGTTTTTCAATGTTTGGCCTTTTAGGCATTGCTGCTTTGTTTCTTGTTATCTTTAACTTCTCCCCTGTTTTTCTTGTCTGTGTTTCTGCAGGTGCTGTTTGCCCTAAACCAGACTCTGCTCCAACATGAAAGTCTCCGAGCAGGTAGTTTGCAGGCCCCATATACCACTGAAGATCTCATCAAGCATTATAACTGTGGAGACCTGAATGCTGTCATATTCAACCATGACACTTCTCAGGTAAGGAAAATCAGCTGTTCTAATAGCGGTGCCCTGGTCATCACTTTATACTCCATCTCCTCTTTCCCCTCTTCCTTTTGATGCCCTGTGTTTTCTTTCCACACGTGCCTCATTTGCCTGGTGAGAGAGTGGGGTTTCCTTGGTATTGCTTGTGCTCTGCAGAATCATAGAATCGTTTAGATTGGAAAAGACCCTTAGGATCATTGAGTCCAGCCATTAACCTGACACTGCCAAGTCCATCACTAAACCATGTCCCTAAGTGCCACATCTACACATCTTTTAAATACCTGCAGGGATGGTGACTCTGCCACTTCCCTGAGCAGCCTGTTCCAATGCTTGACAATCCTTTCGGTGAAGAGATTTTTCCTCATATCCAATCTAAACCTCCCCTGGTGCAACTTGAGGCCATCTCCTCTTGTCCTATCGCTTGTTACTTGGAACAAGGAAGGGATTGCCTGGAAAACTTTCCTAGGAATGTGCCTGAAAAAAAGTTAATTATGGATGTTCGTCGGGCTGTTGAATGTAGTCCCCTCATTAAGGGAGAGGGGAAAAATCTTTGTAATACTTGAGCTTATATATGAAGAGGAAGTGAACCTTATGTAAATACTCTATAAAGTAAATAACTTCTCAAACATGTCATAATTCAATAATTTTGTATGTGTCTCAGGCAGCCCTTCAGTCTCTGTTTATCTTAGTTATCCAATGCTATTAAAAGCTCTCAATGGAGGAGAAATATGCTTTCCAGACCAGTTTGATAGTTCATCACAAACTCTGAGATTCTCATTAAATACAGAGGTTCCTCTTTCTCCTTTCCTGTTAATTCTATGGAAACTTGATCTTTGGATGTCATCTCCTACCCCTCTTTTTTTTGATAAATGTTCCCGGGTTCCGGTCTCAGGTGCAGTGACTTACTTGGAGAGGACCTGTGTAAACTTTGGGGCAGCCACAGCATTATATGTGTTTTGCCAATGAAATTCTATTACATCATGATTGTGGTTTACCATTAGGAAATGCAAATCAAGCATAACTATGTGACTTCAAGAGAAAACTGAGATAGGGTAAGGTCAGTCTGTTGATTGAGGCAGAGGTCTCTGAGACATTTTACCTTGCCATCACTGTCTTGAGTTGCACAGGGCTCTGTGGGTCACTTGTTTCTCAGAGGAACAGCGGGGAAAGCGAGGAGGGCCCCAGTGTGGCTGTAAGGTAACAAAGTCTGCCCACCACACTCCCTGACATGGGTGCTTTCCCAGGGGTTTTGTATGTCCCTCTGAGAAGTTCTAGGTAGAAATGTAAAAGACACCTAGCGGAAGCTGGAGCTGCTCTTCCATGTCACCTATCACAGAACTAGCCTGTCCCTCCACAGGAGCAGAAAGACATCAGCTTGGACAGTCAGAAGTTGTTAAATTCTGGACAAATGGTGATGTCTTCTCTTTTTTTCCTATCTGGTTATCATTTTCAAATAGTAGAAAGAATGGTTGATGGTAATGAATGGGATAAAACCCCTTTGCTGTGCCACTTAATCCAGTCCTAGAAAGTGAAGCATTGTTTTATCGTGACTGAGCAGGACATAATGGGGTGTTCAACGTGGCAGTACTGAAACAGAAGCCTGTGTAGTACTAAAGCTGCCAGAGCTGTTTGTTCTGGACAGCCTTGCACTGAAAAGTAAAGGGAGAAAGCAACTCAGGTAGGAATACATCTCTAAAGATGGGGTGTGTGAGTTGGAAAGCGTAGAGAGCTCATGACTTCAGAGGATCCTGGAGAAGTCAATGGCTGTAACTATTCCTGCAATGTTGAGGAACAGCATACGAGATAAACACATGATGATTTTGGAGAAATAACTCTTGCAAAGTGTGGTGGTGTATTTGCTATGGATGCAAAGAAAGGACTACTAATGAAGACAGTCCTGGCATCTGAATGTCCTGTGTCGTCCTTTAGTCTCTATCAGTGTAATTTCTCCAGCAGTGAAGGCTTTGTCCCCGAGACAACTTGTAGCCATTCACACTGGTTGCATTGACTTGCAGACATCTGTGATTTGTTGACACAATGTCCTATAACAGACCTGTGGGTTAGACTTGAGAAGAACAAAATGCTGTAAAAAATTCTTTATCCCTGCAAATTGTTGGATCAAATGTGAGTTTAAAAACAGCGTTAAAGAAAGAAGAAAGGAGCCAACAACCAATCAAGAGTTCATGCACTGGTGTTAGTCATGGTCCCCGAGTGCACGCAGTTGATAGAGATTATAACACTTACAGGCCATGGAAAATTAAAATCCCTATATGTATACTAGTCCCTGCAGAACTCTAAATTTTGTGGAGTATTTTCCTCTCCTGGGTTGTTGTTTTTAATTTGGGTAAAGAGGTTTTTTGTTTGCTAGTGTTTTTATAAACCAACTTTATACCGTTTTTTTTTTTAAATTGCAAACAGAATAAAATAGAAAATTAAAACCTAAAATAAACACCCTATTCAGGTCAACTTTTGCCAGTTGTGGTAATTCCAAAGTTTATTCTGTGTGTTTTTTGTGAGGATGATAGACTCTGTCTGCCACAGAGAGTCTTTGCCATTTGTTTACCAAATTAGATTAGCCTGGCTCGAATATTACACATGAAGCATCCCCAAAGGGGTCTTTCTCTTGAGACATTAAATATAGGCACAGGGATTTATCATGTGCTGAGGGTGTATTGCAGGTCTCATCAGGTGACAACAAACGATTGGTCTACAAGTGCAGAAAAACTGTAAATATCTCAAGTGAGATCACACAAACTTCAGGGCAGGTACCCATGCCAATCATGGGAGACAAGAGTTTTACAGTGTTTTTAGAAGGTGTGCCCATTCTTCCATGATATCCAGCTGCTGGCCCTGCTCTTCAGATGTCTGCTAGGTCCTTGGAGCTAGTACCATTAACGCAACTTTGAAATATCACATAGAAAGGAACAAAAGATCAGGAATGAAGTCGTAAAACTCAACACTTAGGTGAATGGTGGAGGCCAGGAATTCAGCTCCATCCCACGTAGCCAGGGAGACATGCAGAAGGCTGTGACTCTCACTCTTTGAGGATTCGTTTGGGGGCTGGTTTTAAGGTTACTAGTGCTTGCTTGTCCATTGAAGGTTAGCGGGAGCTGCAGAATAAAGGTGAACCTGTCCACTAGTTGCCGCAGTTTAGAGCCATTGGTTTAGGTCACTGTAATGAACGGGGAAGTAGCTGAGAAAGTCTAACATTGGTATGGGGACGGTGGTGGTGGGCAGTATTTATCTAGGTGCAGTAACTTCCTAAATTACTCTAGTGTGAATCTTGGGAGACGGAGTGTCTTCAGTAGCTGTCTGCAAGATCCTGAGATGCCTTTAGAGCAAAACTCATTCTGGAGTGGAAAGAAGGACCAGAAGTGGAAATAATAATCTGGTTGACTCAAGGTGTTATGGATGAGGTTCCTGAGCCTCTTCAGTCTCCCTAAGGGAGTTTGAGAAATGTGCAGTTTGTCAGCACCAGTCTTGTTGACTCCTGCAGCATTTGGGAGGAGAGGGCCGAATCCTTCTGGGACTGGCTCTGTGCCAAGGGGGTGCACAGAAGCGATGGTGCTGGGAGGAGACGTGCAGGTAAAGTTATTTATTTCCTAGACCAAAGCAGAAGCTTGGGCACCAGGTCAGAGGGCAGCTTCTTTGGCACCTGGGGACAGGGACAGGGACAGGGACAGGACCACCCCAGGGAGATGCTGTCCACTTTGGGATTGGGAAGCCCAGATTAGCCAGGGTAAGGTGCCTGAAATGGAGGGGTGTGAGCAGGGCCTCAAATCCCTAATGTTTTCCTATCCCAGAGCTGTCAGCACTGATGACAGTGGAGGACTAAACAAATCCTCCTCAGTTTCAGTGGTGGGTTTTTTTATTTTAATTAAGAACAGTGAAAGGGGGAAACACCTCTGCTTTCCTGTAGTTATATTACATTCCTCATTTCTTTCTCTCTCTCTTTTTCTTAAATTTTGTTTCCAAGCACCATTTTTCCAAACGTATAAATCCTTATTTAAACTTAATAAAATTTTTAGAGTCTTGAGTTTACTCAGTTAGACTATGACCCAAAAGTGGAGTAGGAAACTTCTCTCCTTCTTCTACAGCCTTCTGCAAACACTTGATTCTCTTGTGACTTTTGCAATCAAGAGGCTTATGTTGGAGTTTCTGGGCAGGGAGTCAAAATGATACCTAAGAGAAAGTATTCTAAGTTAAAGATAGGATAAGTGTATTTTCTGCTCTTTCTTCAGACTTTTTATCCCTCAAAGAAGTCATAGTTTCTTTCTGTCCTTTTGAAAAAAGTTCCCTACAAGCAAAAATGCATTGGATTAGATCAGTAGCTTTAACTTCTGTATTCTGTCTGACGCTCTCACAAGGGAACTGAGGTCAGTGTGTGCAGATGCGTTAAAATGCAAAAAATCTATTAGTGCAAAGTTAGAAAATAATCTACCTCCAGAGGATACTTTTTCTTACCTGAGACAGCTAAGAAATTGCCTAATGACCTGAAGCCTTGGTGAAGAAAAAGTAGGGTGCAGAACAATTTATCTTGTATTTTCTTCCCTCAATCTGATGTAAAGGTCTTTATTCAATCAAACATTTGAGTTTTGAGTTCAGGGATATCTTGCAGCAGTTACTTGCTATGGTCAGTTTTGAGCTGTTCAATTTTTTAAGGACAATTCTGTAAAGCAGATTTATCTTTGCCCACATGGAATTAGCTGGTTCTATGTTTCCTTGTTTTCCTATGGATACTCTATTAAGATGAAAATTGAAAAGCCAAGGTTGAGATTTTTCTTCTTCAACCTTTCCCAAAAACTATACCTGTGGTCTCCAGCTATTATTTCTTCTCTTCTGTCCTCAGCCATTCTCCTGACCCGAGGAGAGGCTCCTGTCCCAGGAGAAGATGGTTTCTCCTCTCTCGTTGCTGATCTGCCATATCAGAGGCCTGCAGCGCTTACTTTATAGCCAGTTTCTACTGGTTGCATACTTGTTATTTACCTGTCCCA